TATTATTATTATTATTGACATTTTGAGGAGGATTTCCATAGTTATTGTTATTATCGTTATCTTAGAACTCAAGAGCTAGAAGGGACCCTATGGATCATCAAGTCCAGCTCCTGACAAGGAGGCACAAGTAGAGAATCGAACTCACAACCTGTGGCTTGACAGCCAGATGCTGACTCTTGTGGTGCAGTGGTTAAACTGCAATACAGCAGCTAAAACTCTACTCACAATCTGAGTTTGATCCCAACCGGCTCAGAAAGCCAGCTCAAGGTTTTGCTTGTCTGCATGCCAGGAAAACACAGGGAAATACTTTTCAGTTCATTCTAGTGTCCGATTCTGATAAGATATTTATCAGAAGATATTTCGCAGAAATATAGAAGAAACACAACACAGTGTTATCCTTGTTGCCTAGGGCTGATAAGAAAAAATTCTGACAAAGTTCTTCTAAAATGCCGCTGTAAAATACATTTTTGAAAGCGATTAGAAACCATTACTCGTTACACCAAGGAAGCACCCTTACGTACTGAAAAGTAACTTTGTTGCAGTAACCCTAATCCTAACTCTAAGTTACTTGTAACCCTGTATTTTCAAGTACCAACAAAGTAATTGGAATGAAGATGTGATTGGACATCAGACATATGCCTGATTGCATTGGGAATGGTCACTTTAATGGGTGCAGTCTCCCTTAAAGGAACCCTGCTGCCTGCTGGGGAATTGCTCCCACCTGGTCCCCAAAAGAAGGTCCAGTTTAGGCATGGATTGGGGTTAGGCTGGAGTGCAATTCCCTGTACGCTGTGCGATTGTGGAGAGATAGCAGTCCCGATTGCAATGGGATCAATACACCCCAAGACAGAGGAATAGCCCTGACTGATGGGTACAGCCAGAAACCCAGGAAAAGCACAAAGAAACAAGCCAAGGTGAATGCTGTTTTTATTCCCTTCTTTCTGTCTTGCAGCTGAAGCGGATGCAGGAGCTGGAAAGGGAACGGGACGCTTTGTTGCAAGGCTTGGAAATGGTGGATCGGATGCGTGATTGGTTTCAGCGTCACCTGTTAGAGGCTCAGAGGCGCCAGAAGCACATGGGAGCAGAGGCAGTAAGTAACAGGCAATGTGCAAAGAGAGAGAGAGAGAGAGAGTCTGTGTGTGAGAGAGAGACACATACACAGAGAGAGAGAGAGAAACAAAAAGCAGGAGGCCAACTTGGTACATGGGCTATGGGAACTTGCATTTGTCGAGATAGCACATCCTTTTGTTTGCTTGTGCGGGAATTCCTGCATGATGGGACAACAAAATCCCAGGCATTTAGGGGATTTTCCAGATTGTAAGAGGCAGTAGGTTCCTAAATCTTTGGCTGAACAAACCTCAAAGAACTGATTTATCTGAATAACAATAGGATTAGCAGTTTTGAGAGTGGCTTTCCCTCCTTCCTTCCCTGTCTTTGGGCTGTGTGTACTCCTCTGACCAAATATTGTAGCGAAAGAATTGGATTGAGTTCCATGAAAGCAGTAGCTGAATTACCCTTGCTAGTCTCTACCTTATTAAAAGTCCCTTTCTTTTCCTTTCATTCATTCATTCATTCATTCATTCATTCATTCATTCATTCATTCATTCATTCATTCATTCTGTATCCTGCTCCCATTAGTACTGTGGCACTACTCTGAGCAGATACCACACCTATAATAGAAAACAAAAATAAAGATAAAAACATTGAAAGCAACAACAATAACGCTAAAAACAGATGGCACCAACTCATGATATAAACCCAGAATGGAAGGAGGAAAAGAAGGGAGGGGGAGAAGGGGAGGAAGGTAAGGAGGGGAAGGTAGTCAACTAGGGTCGGTGTGTGGTACCAGACAGGTAGTCATTCCCCATAACCTTCCATAACTCATACAAGTCTGTTGATAAAATGTCAGAAGGGCATTATATTGTCTTATATGCCGCCTTTCAATTGGGGGACTCAGAGCAGCTCACAATATTAAAGAGAATAGAATTAAAAACATAAAACTAACAATTTTAAAAATTAAACTATATGCTTATTAAATAATGAAAAGCAAGTAAACATTAAAAAACTATCATTAACTCGAAGAAGGCATTCAGGGATTCAGTCATGATTGTTAAAAGCCTGCTTGCAGAGCTGGGTCTTCAGCTGTTGGTAGAAAGATGAAAAGGGGAAGGGGGCCAGCCTGATTCCCCAAGGGAGAGCCATTCCATCACGTGGGAGCTCCCACAGAGAAGTCCCTCCCTCGTGTCCCCATTTCTTGTACTGGCAATGGGACCCATAGGAGAGCTTCTGATGACAGTCTTAAACACTGAGAAGGTCCA